AACCGCCCCTTTATTTTTAACTGCTAACCAAGTGGAATAAAAAGACTTAAATGCAAATGTAATAAATATCACTCATAAAAGTGACATGTGAAAGAACAACAATGAACGAGTATAGAGATGAATGACTGCATTTAAATTCATGACAGATGCATATATATATGACACATATATTGCAATGAAGAGAATGCAAAAATAACTCTCATATTGATGGTCACTTGATTTTCAACATGGTTGACAAGATGTTCTACAGAGAACCAATAATCTCTTCCACAAATGCTAGAACAAGTGGATGTTCACATTTAAATAAATGAAATTGGATCCCTATCTCACACAAGACACAGAACTAACCCCAAGTAAATCATAGATATAAATGTAAGAAATAGTACTATAAAACTTAAGAAGAAAATAGCAAGACATTGTCACCTTGGGTTTGGCAATGACTTCTTAAATATGATACCAACAGCACAAATGACAAAAGAAAAAGATAAACTGGAATTCAACAAAATTTATACCACAAGATCCAGTGTATCCATTTAATGGTGTGTACTTAGAAAAAAAGAAACCAAGTGCCTTTACAATTTATAACATGGAGGAACTTTGAAAAGATTAAGCCAAGGAAGAAAAGCCAGTCACAAAAGACCACATATTATCTTACTCCATTTGCATAAAATATCCAGGGCATTCAAACCCATACAGTCAGAAACTAGATTGGTGGTTGATTAGGTTGGGACTTCCTCTGGGAATGGTGAAAAGATCCTGAAATATACTGTGCCAATGCTTGAACAACCCTGTGAGTAAAATGTAAACCATTTAATTTAAATGTGTAAGTCATATCAATACAGCTGTTATCAGAAAAATAATACCAAACTCCAAAAAAAAAAAGATGAAACAAAAATAACCAGAAAACATTTTAAAGTGAATACAAATAAAAACAAAACTTATCAAAACATATGTAATACATTTAAATACAGTGTTTACATGCAATTTAGGTACATAAGTACCTGCAGTGGACAAAAAGATATTTCAAGCCAAAGGTTTTTACCTCTGTCTTGTGAAACCACACACACACACACAAATAAATAAATAAAAATAACACCCAGGGGCACCTGGGTAGCTCAGTCAGTTAGCAACAGACTCTTGGTTTTGGCTCAGATCATGATCTCATGGTTGGTGCAGAGTCTGCTTGAAGTTTTTTGCCCTCTGCCTCTCCTCCAATACACATGTTCTCCCTCTCCCTCAAAGTAATAAATAAATCTTTAAAAAAAATAAACCCCAAATATGCAGAGAGATTAAAATGATAAGTTAAGAGCAAAAAGCAATAAAATAGCAAAGGACAATGTATAAAGTTAATTTAAAACCTCTGTTTTTGAGATCAATTAAGATGCTAATCTTCTAGCCAGACTGAATAAGCAAAAAAGAGAAAGTCACACATTATTGATACCGCAGAAATATAAGAGGTTGTTACCACAGATCCTAAGGACTTAAAAAGAAAGTAAGGGAATATTATGAACAAATTTATGCTAATAAAGTGACAACCAATTAAATGGATGTTTCCTGAAACACAAGCTTCCAAAGCTTACTTAAGAAGTAGGTAACTACAAGGATTTTCTATCTATTAAAGAACTTGAAGTTTCAGTTAAAAACTTTCCCACGAAAAAAGCACTAGGACTATTCAGATAATTTCATTGTTAAATCCTTCCAAACATTTCCAGAAGAAATAATACAATTCTACACAATCTCTTGTAAAAGTTAAAAAGGATAAACATAACAATTCATTCTATACAACATGCAATACAATGATACCAAAACCAAATCATTACAAGAAAACTGGAGATCAATGCCAATCATAACTATAGATATAATTTTTTAGCTCATTGAATCCAAATATAAAAAAGGCATGATAAAAAAAGAAACATTCATAAAATAAAACATAAATTGGACATTATCAAAATTAAAAATATTTCCTCTAAGCAAGATATTATTAAAATAATCAAAAGTTCATATCAAAAGATTTCTTTGGGTCATCTTCAATTTCTTTCATAAGTGTTTTAAAGTTTTCTGAGTAAAGATTATTTACCACTTTGGTTTGGTTTATACCTAGATATCTCATGGTTTTTGATGCAATTGTAAATGGGATCAATGTCTTGATTTCCCTTTGTGATGTTTAATTATTGGTGTACAGAAATGCAACAGATTTCTGTACATTGACTTTGATCTTGTGACTTTACTGAATTTATATATCAGTTCTAGCCAGTTTTTGGTAGAGTGTTTTAGGTTTTCTACCTAGAGTATATTGCATCTGCAAATAGTGAAAATTTGACTTCTCCTGGCTGATATGGATGCCTTTTATTCTTATTGTTTTCTGATTGCTGAAAGACTAGGACTTCCACTACAGTATTAAATAACAGTGGTGAGAGTGGATATCCCTGTTTTATTCCTGACCAAAAAGGAAAGCTCCCAGTTTTTCCCAATTGAGGATAATATCTGTGGGTATTTCATATAAGCAAAAGGAGAAATATTCCATGCTCATGGATTAAAAGAGCAAACAATATTAAAATGCCCATACTAACCAAAGCAATGTATACATTTAATGCAATCCCAATCAAAATTCTGAGAGCATTTTCACAGAGCTAGAGCAAACAAACCTGAAATCTGTAGGGACCTACAAAAGACCACAAATAGCCAAAGTAATTTTGAAAAAGAAAACCAATGTTGGACACATCACAATTCCATAATTCAAATGATATTACAAAGCTGTAGTGATGAAGACAGTATGGTTGTGGCACAAAAACAGACACATCGATCAGTGGAACAGAAGAGAAAATCCAGAAATGGACCCTCAACTATATGGTCAACTAATCTTTAACAAAGCAGGGCAGTGTATCAAATGGGAGAAAAAAAAAAAAAAAAACCTGTCTCTCCAAAAAAGTGTTGGGAAAACTGAACAGCAACATGCAAAAACAATGAAACAGGACCATTGTTTACATGATACACAAGAATAAATTGAAAATGGATGAAAGATCTAAATCTGAGATATAAAACCATCAGAATCCTAGAGAAGAACACAGCTAGAAACCTATTTAACATTAACCATAGCAACTTCTTACTCGATACATCTCTAAGGCAAGAGATACAAAAGCAAAAATAAACTATTGCAACTTCATCAAGATAGAAAGCTTCTTCACAGAAAAATAAAAAATCAACAAATCTAAAAGGCAACTTCTGAATGGGAGAAAATATTTGCAAATGACACATCTAATAAAGGATTAGTATCCAAAATATATAAAGAACTTATCAAATTCAACACCCAAAAAACAATAGCCCAGTTAAAAATGGGCAGAAGAGATGAATAGACATTTCTCCAAAAACATATAGATGTCCAACAGACAAATGAAAAGATGCTCAACATCATGATCAACAGGGAAATAGAAATGAAAACTACAATGAGATATAACACCTTACACCTATCAGGGCTAAAACTAACAACATAGGAAATAACAGGTTGTTGGCAAGGATGTGGAGAAAGGGAAAAGGGGAGCCCTCTTAACTATTAGTGGGAATGCAAACTGGTGCAGCTACTCTGGAAAACGGTACAAAAGTTCCTCAGAAAACAAAAAACAGTATTAACTTGTGACCCATCATCTAGGTGGATCCACGAAATTCACCTAGGTATTTACCCAAAGGATACAAAAATACTGATTCAAAGGGGTTCATGAACTCTGATATTTACAGAAGCATTATCAACAATACCTAAGTTTAGAAAGAGCCAAATTGTCCATTGACTGATGAATGGACAAAGAAGAAGTGGTATATGTGTACAATGAAATATTACTCAGGCATGAGAAAGAATGAGATCTTACCATTTGCAATGACCTGAATGGAGGTAGAGACTATTATGTTAAGTTAAATAACTCAGTCAGAGAAAGACAAATACAATGTAATTTCATGCCTATGTGAAATTTAAGAAACAAAGAAATGAATAGGTGAAAATGAGAGACAAACCATAAAACAGAATCTTAACTATAGAGAGCACACTGAGGGTTGCTGGAGGGGATTTGGGGGGAGCAGGTTAAACAGGTGATGGCAATTAAAGAGGGAACTGGTTGTAATGAGCAATGGATGTTGTATGTAACTGATAATCATGATATTCTTGCTTAAAACTGACATGATACTGCATGTTAACTAAGTGGAATTTAAGTAAAAATTTGAAACAAACAAACAAAAGAATAAAGTAGAGCAAAACAGACTACAAAGAGTAGTAGACATGAAATGGGAAGGCTAAGAATTTAGGTAAATCTTATTTTATGTAGCTGTGTGACTTTAGATAAATCTAACTACACCAAGCTTCACTTTCCCATCCACACACAAATATATTTGGATGATCAGTTATTTGTTGGTTTGGCTCATAACAGAGGTCAAAAATAAAAATTAAAAAATAAATTAAAAAATAAAGGTCAAATATAAAAATCTACTGAAAGACACGTGATCCATAATGTCTACATAGGCAAAATAGGTGAACCTTGATTGTCTTTATGGAATCTTCAGTCTCTAGCATTTAAAGGAGACATATTCTTGTAAATTGGAGGATAGAAATTGAGAGCACAAACAGAGTATCTGACACATGCTTCTAATACCAACTGTCAATAAGAACACCCCCAATAATGCACTGTCATGCTACTGGTAGCTAATTCAATGCTTTGAAGACTACCATAAATGTTCCAAGGAGAAATAAAAGCTCAAAATGACAATGGGGAAAAAAGACAACATGTTTCTTACTTAATGTTATTACTAAACAGAACAAAGATGTGGAGAAGTAATTGTGGTATTGGTGAGGAAAAAAAAAGACCAGTTTACAAAGACTAAAAATATACTATAAGACTCAACCTTCCTTTACCATGTTAAGGAAAAAATGGCCTAAGAAGGTTGCAACTAAATGTATTTTATTTAAACACATAGAATCTCCCTGTATATAACTAACCACACAGAGACAATGTTTCTGATCAAAATGGTGTCCTACTCAGAGTTTTTCTCACAGCAAGCTTAATGTCTCTGTTTCTCAAGCTGTAAATGAAAGGGTTCATCATGGGAACTGCATTCATATAAAAGACAGAGGAGATTTTTCCCTCATCCATAGACACAGCAGATGATGGTTTAAGATAAATAAATGCAGCATATGCAAAGAAGAGAGAAACAGCAATTATGTGGGAGCTGCATGTGCTGAAGGCTTTCGACTTGCCCTCAGTGGAGCTGATGCACAGGATGCTGGACAGGATGAAACCATTAGAGACAAAGATGGTGACACTGGGTACAATCACATTGATGCCCACCACAGTGAAAACCACTAGCTCGTTCACATAGGTGCTGGTGCAGGAGTGCTGGAGCAGAGGGAGAATGTCACACAAATAATGGTTGATGGTGTTTGCATCACAGAAGGTCAGTTTCAGCATGCATCCTGTGTGAGCCATGGCACCCGAAAATGACACCAAGTATGAACCAAGCATAAGGATGGAGCACACTTTAGGTGACATGGCAACATTATATGAGAGTGGGTTACAGATGGCCACATAGCGATCATAGGCCATTGATGTCAGGACATAACATTCAGAAATAGCAAAAAAGCAGAAAAAGTAAAGCTGAGTCTTGCATCCCCTGTAGGAAATAATATTCTCCTTTGATGAGAAGTTAATCAGCATTTTTGGTGTAAATATAGAAGAATAGCAGAGGTCTATGAAGGACAAAATGAAGAGGAAAAAGTACATGGGGATGTGCAGGTGTGCATTCAGCAGGATTAGCATTATCAAGCCCAAAATTCCCAACACGGTGATCACATACATGACTAGAAACAGGCAGAACAGGGGGAGCTGGAGATATGGTAAGTCTATTAGCCCCATCAGAATGAATTCAGTCACAAAGGAAGCATTTCCAGGAGCCATTCTTCTCTAAGGGGATCTGTGAACATAGGAAAAATGTTAGAGAGAACAATTTAATTTTTCCCATGACATCACCTCTCACAAGAGTTGGGTTTGTACTGAGAATATTTGAGACTAGCCCAACAAGGACCCATAGAACCTGCTTTATCACTATCGTGAATCAAGTCACCTGGACATTCCCTCATTAAAGTTCTTTTAAGCTGTATAAGCAAAGAGCATCAAAACCTGGCCTACAAATTGAAGGCCACTCTTTCCATATGCTAACAGAACTGTATGAAACCAAAGGTTAAAGGAGAAGATTGCAACAGGAGAGAATCACCTTCTCTCATTTTATTTCTTTGACCACATTGTCCCTAACCAGTAACTGGAGGCAGCAATCCCAAAAACCTGGTGCTGCCTTCTAATGGGGATTAGACTTGGTGTGGTGGGGGGACTGAAGAACATTCTTTCTAATCCAAAACTGAAGAATCAGAGGCTTGGAGAGTTTAAGCTCCTGCCCTATGTCACTGAGTAAAAACCATAAATGTACAAGAATGAGAGTTCCATCAATGGAACTGACCAATAAATTGCATTCTTGAAACCTAATAATATCTCTGAAACTTCCCTTCCCTACATGGCTACCCTCCCCTCCAACAGATTCTTCTGTCATATTCACATGAGTCTGAGGACTGCAAAGACTGGAAAGAAAGTAGCATATCATAGATCCCCAGGCTTCCATCACAAAAGGAAGACAGAATATAAATGGAATTCAGAAACTCACCCTCCTTAGGTAAGAACACCTTGGTCCTTCCTTACCAGCATTACCCTTGTGGTCCTGAAAGGGCAGATTTAATCTCGGTGGCTTTGCTCACTTTGATTCTATGAGGACAGACCCCACACTTAATTTCTGAGCCCTGCAAATCCTTCTGAACCACAGATAACAATTTCTGATTATGAGTCCTCTCAAGCAACAGACAAAAATAAATAGCCTTTATTATTATCATTTTTGCCACTTGATAAATCACAGAAGACTTAAGGTGAGGGCAATGATATAATGTCCACAGTTATAAACAGGGCAGGAGCTTGCTCAGTCTCTTCCACAGGGAATGATTTCTGGTGTAATAAGGTCTTGAGGGGATTGCATTTACACACAGGACCATAACAGGTCTCTTTCCTTAGGGATCCAAAATTTTACTCAAGGTTTCCCTCCACTGTAGGGATTAGACATCTCCCAAAGAGGAACCAAAAATAAATTCTCATTTCCCATTAAGCAACATGGCAGAAGAGGAAGCTCTAGACCCTGTGACCCTCCATGAACACACTGATTCAGAAATGTTTCCTGTACAGATTCCCTTTGTAAGAAATCCAGATACTAGTTAAGGTAGTCCTGCTCCAAGTTAAAGCATGAGTCTAGTCACATTGGAACTACCAGAGATATCCCAGATATCTTGTTGTAACACTTCTCCTTGCACAGCACCTTCAAATTGGGACAACCCCCCCCCCCACCCATCCAGTGTCTGGCTTCTCCTGGGGAGGAAAAGAAGTACACCATGTGTCCAATGCCCCAACTTTTATTAGCCAGTTCAGAAGACTGGCTTCTGGATACTATATGTCAGAAAGTAGAGGGGATAAAAAAGGGCATTCTTTACCTGCCCATGAAAGAGACAAAAAATGATGGTGGTTTGCACTAGAAGTCACCAGATTTCCTCACCCAGGCTCAGTATAGAGGAAACAATTGAAAACCCCTTTTCTACAGCTTCTCTAGGGTGGGGGAAAAATGTGCACCACACATCTAATAACACAACTTATCTGTGAGCTGCCTGAGGAATTGGCTTCAGTCTTGCTTATTTTAGAACACAGATGCAACTCTGCATACTGTGGATGCCTGGGGTGGGGGGCAACTAAGAACAAAGTAAAAGGATTAGCCTGTACACACTTGGGAGGCCTCCAGAGTGTCTGATCAGACATATTATTGGTACTTTCTTGAGTCCAAGGCAAGACTATGAATATTAGGACAGATGAGTATTTTGTCTAATGTGTAGACACCAATGAAGAGTCAATAAAAATGAAGACAAGTTGAAACACTTTCCAAAAAGGAGTAAGAGAAATTTCCACAAACTGACACTAATGAAATGAAAATATGTGATTTACGTGACAGAGAATTAAAAAAAACTGTCATAAAGATGCTCACTGGAGTCAAAGAACAATTCACAAACCAAGAGAAAATGTCAACACAGAGACAGGAAGCTTAAAAGTATTAAACAGAAATCATGGAGCTGAAAAATACAATTGATGAATTGAAAAACTCAACAGGGGTTCAAGAGCAAACATGATCAAACAAAAGAAAGAAACACCGAATTTGATGAAAGGTCACTGAAAATTATTCAGCTAGGAGGTCAAAATGAAAAAAAAAAATAGTGGAGAAAGCTTGAGGGACTTATTGGATCCAACCAAGTGGATCAATAGATGTATTTTGGAAACCCCAGTTGGAGAGGGAGAATGAACCAGAATGTAGATTCAAAGAAAAAAAGGCTGAAAAATTCACAAATTATGGCAATTTCCCAATACTTTGACTTATTTATAGAAAGATAAAACCACAAAAACTGCAATGATGTGTATATATATACAAAGACCAAGGTTCAATTGCTAATCCACTCTCCACTTTATTTAACTGAACTAACCTGACTTCCACCTTCAGATTTAGGTCCATATCAATTTCCAGGAAGGATGCTTATCTAAGCAGGTGAGATATAAAAGATTCTCACCCAATATTCTGTGATTCCACACAAATTTACTGACTGCTGAATCACCTTTAAAATTTAAAATTATGATATTTGGTTTCTATTTAATCATTATGCTTTATGATAGCTCTGGTGATTATGCAAAAATTATGCCTAAAGAAGCTCTTTAAGAAAAGATTTTTGTAAACAAACAAACAAACAAAAATATTGTAAAAGTAGCAAGACAAAAGGATTCCCTAAAGTATAAGGGAAGACAAATCAGATTAGCAGCAGATCTGTCAAGAGAATCTTGACAAGCTGGAAGAAAGTGGCATGATATATACAATGTGCAGAAAGAGAAAAACTGCAGGCAAGAAGATGCTATCAAGCAAGACTATCATTCAGAACAGAAAGAGAGATAAAGAGTTTCCCAAAATACTAAAGGAATTTGTGACCACTAAATTTCAGCTCTACAAAAAATTTAAAGGGGACTTTTGAATGGGAAATAAAGACCAAAAGCGACAAAGACTAGAAAGGAAAAGAGAAAATCTCCAGGAACAACACAAAACAAGTAATGAAACACTAAATATTTATCTATCAATAATTACTTAGAATGTAAATGGAATGAAGGCTCCAATCAAAAGACATAGGGTATCAGAATGGATTAAAAAAAAAGACCCATTTATATGCTACCTAGAAGAGACTCATTTTAGACCTAAAGACACCTATAGATTTAAAGTGAGGGAGAGGAGAAATATTTCCATGCAAGGATGTCAATAGAAAGCTGGAGTAGCAATCCTTATATCAGACAAACTAGATTTTAAACCAAAAGCTGTAACACAAGATGAAGAAGGGCACTATATCATAATAAAGGGGAATATCCAACAAGATCTAACAATTATAAACGATTATGCCCCAATGTGGGAGCACCCAAATATATCAAACAATTAATAACAAACATAAGGGAACTTACTGATAATCATACAAGAATAGTAGGTGACTTCAATGTCCTACCTACATCAACAAGGAAACAATGAGTTTGGATGACAAACTAGACCAGATGTACATAACAGATATATTGAGAACATTTCATCTAAAGGAACAGAATACACATTCTTTTCAAGTGCACATGGGACATTCTTCAGAGCATATCACATACTAGGTCACAAAAAGTCCTCAACAAGTACAAAAATATTGAGATTATACCATCCATATTTTCCAATCACAACACTATGAAACTTGAAGTGAACCACAAGAAAGATATTGGAAAGACCACAAATACCTGGAGGTTAAAGAACATGTTACTAAAGAATCAGTGGATCAACCAGGAATTTAAAGGTGAAATTTAAAAAAAGCAAAAACATGAAACAATGAAAATGAAAACACACAGGTCCAAAACATTTGAGATGCAGCAAAAGGTGCCATAAGATGGAAGTTTATAGCAATACAGGCCTGCCTTAAGAAGCAAGAAAAATCTAAAAAAATAAACAACCTAGCCTTACATTTTAAAGGATTTAGAAAAAGAACAAATGAAGCCTAGAGCCAGCAGAAGGGAAATAATAAAGATTAGATGGGAATAAATGATATAGAAACTAAAAAAAAAAAAAAAAGAACAGATCAATGAAACCAGGAGGTGGTTCACTGAAAAACAATTAATAAAACTGATAACCCTCTACCCAGATTTATCAAAAAGAAAGAGGAAAGGATACAAATAAATAGAATCACAAAGGATATAGGAGAAATGACAACCAACACCACAGAAATACAAATGATTATGAGAAAACATATGAAAAACTACATGCCAAAAGTTAGACAACCTGGAGAAAGACACATATAAACTATCACATCTGAAATGGGAAGAAAGAGAAAACATGAGCAGACTGATAACCAGCAAAGAAATGGAATCAGTAACAAATACTTCAAACTAAAAACCAAACCTCCCAACAAAGAAAAGTTCAGGAGCAGATACCCTCACAGGAAAATTCCATCAAACATTTAAAAAAGAGATAATACCTATTCTTTCAAACCTATTCCACAGAAATAAAAAAGGAGGGAAGACTTCCAAATTCATTTTATGAGACCTGCATTACCTTGATACCAAAAGCAAAGATCCCACAAAAAAGAGAACTACAGGCCAATACGCCTGATGAATGTAAATGCAAAAATTCTCAGTAAAATACTAGCAACTTGAATTCAACATCACATTAAAAGAATCACTCATGACAATCAAGTGCAATTTATTCCTGGGCTGTGAGGTGGCTCCATATTCACAAATCAATAAACATGATATACCACATTAATGAA